TGAGTCCAAAAGAAGAAAACTCCTCGGCCAAACCAACTAAAGGAAAACAGATTTTCCATATGGTTTTGATGACTTTTGAGTCATCCTGCTGATATTTTGGTCCAGGAGGTAGGGGTGTCAATGGATAAGTTTTGGGTTGGACCCCGTCTAAATCAAAATCAATTTGAATGGATTGGACGGACCAATAAGACATATTGAATTGGACCAGTCCAGACTTAATTGTCCAAACTATTTATTGGATTGGATTGGACCTGTTCCATATGCAATGGATTTATATTGGATTGGGTCAGATTGAACCAATATCTGGTCATTGGTAGAAGATAAGAATACAGGTGTCAATGGACCAAGTTTGGATTGGAACAAATCTAAATTAAAACCAATTTGAACAGATTGGACGGTCCAGACATTGAATTGAACCAGTCCAAAATGGTCCAAAGTATTCATTAGAATGGATTGGACCTCGCCCATTTGTAATGGGCTCATATTGGACCAAATCAGATCCAATTGACACCCCTACCAGGAGGCATCTTAGATGGAAACACACCAATTGAGGATCCTCACAGCCACATATGCATGTGATAAGTATGGCATAGGCAGGAAGTAGGCATACCTGCCAGGATCATTTATCAAAAAATAATAATAATAATATACAGAAATACTTGTAATTCCAAAATGCCCCACAAATACCATGTGTTCGCTGCAACTCAAAACACTATTGCAACAAAAACTGACCTCTTCATAATGGGCTTTTAGGAATTTGGATACCACATTTGGATATTTAGTAAGCAAATCCTGCCACACATTTTCTTTCATTACACATATACCAAGGAAAAGGAAAAATGTTGCCTTCAAGTTGAAGTTAAAGAAAAACACCACAACAGCTGAAATGTAGGAGAGTTGACCTTAAAAGTAGAAAAAGCATCAGAAGCAACATCAAAGTTAGGCAACTCCACAAACTTGAAGAACAACTCAAAGCTTGTGGATTCCAAAATATATCTGAAAAATCACTACAAAAATTTAAATGTGTGAAAAAACAGAATTTTGCTTTCAAATGATAATTCTTCATGAAAGAGCACAATCTCCTAAAAGAACAATGGCTGAAATCAGTATCTTTTCTTTTTTTTTCCCCATATAGATACTTCTTAGAGGAAAAATAAATAGATAAGAACTAACTACAGCATGGTAAGAATGCTCTTAAAGAAACCCAGCTATCAATCAAGTATATGTACTAAAATGTTTCAATATTGAAAACAACATGAAGACATAAACCTTAAGCATAGTGTTGTAGCTTTCAATTAAGCATGATGAACAAAATATACAAAAAGGGGAGCTATGACGGCATGTTACTTTATAAAAGCAGTGTTCCCCATGTTAAAGTCTAGTTGACAGGGGCAATATTGTCTTTCGTTTCCTTTTCTTTAGTCTCTCTATTTTGTGATACTCCTCAGGGGTATAGTTGTAACTTCGGTTATCTTTTAGAAGCTAAATAAAAACTAGGTCAAGAGTAAGGGGGTGGACCAAAAGCCTTTTCTTCTTCTCTTTTCTTCTCTTGACCAGTTGTTACATCTTTACTTTTCTTCTCTTTGGGAGTGATTCTTTTCTATCTTTGGGTGCAAGTGGACTTTATTGACAATCTTGGCTAGTTTGTTTGGAGGAACTTTCAGGTGGCCAAGGAAAAGAGGAATAATATCATGGAGATTCACTACGGTTGTTGTATTATGCACTCTTAAATGAAGAGGAGAAAAATCTAGAATCAATTTTGGAATGTATTGTCATAAGAGCGATTCATTGGGTGAAATCTTTGGACTTGTTTTCACCCTATTCTTTTGATGGTATAAGAAGGAATTGGAGGGAAGTGCCTTCTTCGTCTACAAGGAAAAACTGAATACTTAAAGCTTAGGAATCACCTATGAAGAATTTTATAAAACTTAATTTTGGCAGGAGTATCCCCAGTAGTAACCCAGGCACCGTAGGCATTTGGGGGTTTAGGGATAAAAATGGGAACATAACAGCCTTATTCTCAGGTCGTATTAGTTGAGGAGGTTCCACTAGAGCTGAATTGCTTGTTGTACTGTGTGGGGTAAAAATAGCAAAAGAGTTAAATGTGAGAAGGCTGATGGTTGAAGGGGATTCTTAAGTGGTGGTAAGTTGAATAAAGAATGAAAAAAAGGCAGCCTGAACTTATCAAGAATTGGTGAAGAAGATCAAATGGTTATTAAAGGGAATGACAGTAATTTCTCAGTGGATTCCAAGGGATGCTAATGGGTTGGCAGATTCGTTAGCAAGGCAAGGGGTAAATAGGGAGCAAACGTATTGGGCTCATTTGTAAGAGCATCCACCCCACATAGTGAGCACAGTCCTATTGCAAAGAAATATGCTTTGGCAGCTACTAGAGGTGGTGGTGGTGGTGGTAGAGGTGTCATTAGAGGAGTTGATCGTGGGTTTAGAGGTAGTTGTGGCAGCGGAGGGGAAGAAAAAAGTTGTGGCAGAAGTGATGGCGGACAAGGTAAGTCCATGAGTGCTCTTATTGTAGCCGTGAAGACCATAAAGTTAATTTCTGCTATGATTTATATGGCCCACCATGTTCTTGGGCCAATCATGCTGTAGTGGAGGATGACATTGGCTACAATATTCCCACTAATGAGGCACCTACTTCAGGAGTTGGTAAGGACAAGGAATTAGTATCTATCACCTGTGAGGAGTATGAGAGATTTCACCTATCTTCTTCATCAAGGACTACTGCTACTCTTGCTCAATCAAGTATAGTTTGCCTTGTCTTCAGTTCTAAATATACACCTTGGGTAATTGATTCTAGAGATTTAGATCATATGACTAGATCTTCAGAATTGTTTATGTCCTTGTTTTCTCCCTCCACTTTTCAAACCATAATTATAGCTGATGGAACATCTTCTCCTATTATGGGTACTGGTAATGTGTTTCTTGATTTTGACCTTAATTTGAATTTTGTTTTTTATGTTTCTAAGTTTCCTTTCAGTCTTTTGTCTATACATAAGCTTACTTAATCACTTAATTGTTCTATAACCTTTTATCCTTCTTATTGTGTTTTTCAGGATCTCACTACAAGGAAAAGATTGGTGGAGGTTGTGAAGTTGGACTATACTACCTAGATGACAATTGTCCACAAAGAGCTCTTCACTCATATTTCACTCCTCATCAATGGCATCGCCATGTTGATCATCCATCCCTTCATGTTTAGAAGAAGTTGGTCCCTAGTTTAGAGTCAGAGATTCAATTGGAATGTGAGTCATGTCAGCTCGGCAAACATCATAGAATTTCTTTTGTTCCAAGAAAAAATAAAAGAGCTATGAGTTCTTTTGAACTTGTTCATTCAGATGCATATGGTCTCAGTCATGTATCTTCATATAATGGGTTCAGATATTTTGTAACTGTCACTGATGGAAATTCAAAAATGACATGGATTTATTAATTTTATTTAATGAAAGATTGTCCTAAGTCATTTTCTATTTTCCTTTCTTCCATGCTGAAGTAAGAAATCAATTTGGTGTTTGTGAAGTGTTCCACTCCAATAATGTCAAAGAATATTTTCAGGGTAGTTTTTAGTCTTACTTTCACTCCCATGGTATTATACATCAGTTTTCCTGTTCATACATGCCTCAACAAAATGGTGTAGTTAAATAAAAGAACCACTATGTAATAGAAATTACCCATGCCTTGTTGATCCAAATGTTAGTACCTAAGATCTATTGGAGTGATGTTGTTCCCACCTCTTATTTCTTCATAAATTGCATGGCTTCTTCTATTCTTTTATGGGTAGACCCCTTTCTCTATCTTTTTTCTATCCGGTTCACTATTCTCTCTTCCCCCATGTGTATTTGGGTGTTTTTGTTTTATTCACACATTGGGTCCTAGCCATAGCAAAACTCGGCCATTAGGTTATTAGATATGTTTTCCTTAGGGGTGCAATTTGGGTTGGCCCAACCCGCGCATGCAATTTTGCATGGGTTGGGTTTAACTTTTTGGTCCTCGGGCCCGAGCTGGGCCTTAGCTTGGCCCTGATTATATACATGTATATGTGCATATGTAGACACATATTTGCATGCATACATGCATATATGCATATTTTAAGGGTAAATTACAAAGACCCCCTTGTACTGTGGGGTCTGTGACAAAGACCCCTTTGTAATATGGGGTCTATGACAAAGACCCCCCTGTACTTTGTTTTGTGACAAAGACCCCCCCTCGTACTATGACTGTGAGACAAAGACCCCCTTCCGTTAGCTTTTCGTTGAAATCCGCCATTGCAATATTTTTTAATCCCTATACTACCCTTGTAAGTTGTAATAACTATTCGGACAATTGGGAAAAAACACTGTTCATCTTCCCCGACCTCACGGTACACTCAGATTCCTTCACATTTCTCTCTCTCCCCCGATCTCTCTTCGTCCCCTTCCCCTTTCTCTCCTTCCCTTTCTTCTTCCCGCTTTCCTCTGTTCTGTCTGCTCTATCCAAACTGTCCAAATATCAAGGTTTCGAGGAGGTACGAGGAGAAGATGAGCCCTGGACAACAGAGTTTGGGATTGAGAAAGACGGCAGCGCCACCGGCGGCAATTGTAGCGATGACGGAAACACTGGGTTCATCTCAATCTGACGTGCAAGATGTGTTCTCTACTAGCAATGGTCCATCGAAAGCGTCTCGCATCATCGCATTCCATTCCACAACCCAATGGAAAGCTTACTTCGACTCTTGCAAAAAATCCACTAAGCTGGTAATTAAATTACCTAAACGAAAAAATAGTAAAACACGGTTCTCTCCCAGCTATTTATTTATGTATATGAATTAAGCCTAACAATTAGGGATCATCTCATGTTTTCTTTTTCCTCCCAACCGAAGATGGTGATCTATTTCACGGCGTCGTGGTGTGGGCCTTGTCGATCCATGGAGCCAGCACTCGACGAGTTCGTTGCCCAATACACAAATGACGTGGAGTTTCTCAAGATTGATGTCAATGAATTAATGGTATTCTCTCACTCTTTCCCCTCTCCATTTTTGCTTTATTGAATGTTTCGGTGGTGCATCTGAGCATTGAATGAATGGATGATCTGATTCTGGGGTTTTTCTTGATTGTTTTGAATTCTGATCATCAAGAGGTGTCATATGAATTTGGGGTGCACACCATGCCAACCTTCATACTAATCCCTTCCCAAACTCTGATGTCCAGGGAACCTCATCTTCTCCTCGTACCTCCTCGAAACCCTGATATTTGGACAGAACAGACAAAACAGAGGAAAGCGGGAAGAAGTAAGGGGAAGGGGAAGAAGAGAGATTGGGGGAGAGAGAGAGAGAAATGTGAAGGAATCTGAGGTAGAAGGGATTACTGTTGTTGTTGTTCGTGTATCGTGAGGGCGGGGAAGATGAACAGTGTTTTTCTCCCAATTGTCCGAATAGTTATTACAAGGGTAGTATGGGGATTAAAAAATATTGCAACGACGGATTTCAACAGAAAGCTAACAGAAGGGTGTCTTTGTCTCACGGTCATAGTACAAGGGGGTCTTTGTCACAAAACAAAGTACAGGGGGGTCTTTGTCATAGACCCCATAGTACAGAGGGTCTTTGTAATTTACCCTTTTTTTAATAAGCTATACATATATGCGTACGTGCATACATATACACATGCATGTATTTCAATTTTTAGTGTGGGATAATTGACCAACCTGAGCCCGGCCCAAGCTCAAGCCCAACCCGAGTGCATCAAATTTTAGTGTGGGTCGGGCTTGGGCTTGACCTCAGGCTCAGGCTTTAGGCCCAATTCTTAGGGTTGGGCTTGGGTTAGGCTAAAACCAAGCCCAGCCTACCTAGCTTGCACCCCTAGTTTTCCTAGGCTATTCTCATATTCAGAAATGGTATAAGTATTTCAACCCTTCCATTGTAAATCCTTTATTGTTCCTAATGTTACCTTCTTTGAAAGTCTGCCTCTTCCATCTACTCCTGGTGAAGTCTTTATCCTACTTCCCAC